AACCTTAAGAGAATTATCTTAAATGTTTTATTTATTTATCGGTTAGAATTTCAGTTATAAGTTTGTTTTTTTGAAACAGTTTGTTTCGCAGAATGTATTGAAAAGAAAATTCGATAAATGATCCGTTTTTTAATCAAAATTCTCAGCAGAAAATCCTACTTTATGTTTTTATTTCTCTGTTGTAATAAGACTTATACCCGCCCCTAAATGCCTCCTTTGCTGATATAACGGGCTTGATGCATGTTACCCCTAACTAGTGTATGATGTGCAACACTCAGGTTTTTTAATAATGCATGTTACATTATTTTAATCGTGATATTTTGGACTGATACTAGACCAGAGGACTAAAGTTTTGCCACTTATGGGATCTAATTTGTTCAAAAACTAAAAAAGACCACAGAACTAATTTTAACATTGATGCAACCAATGCCCACCTTACGGTGTGGTATATTTGTTCGCGTACTAATAACGCCAATTTGCTGAAATAATAATGACGTCCATTGCTGGCGTCATTATCACGTCAATTGGCAAAAAAACCGTGTGAGGTATGAAGCTACCGTGTGAGGTATGAAGCTATCGTGTGAGGTATGAAGCGTGAAGAACTGGACATCTAGATAAAGACAATAAGGCAAGACTGAACGTGCTAAACGGAAATGAACTGAGACAATCTATGAAACTGAACTAAAGATGTCACACGTTGAATATACTAAACACATTGACTAAACTTGCATCACAGACAAGATACTTGTCTCTGTATGTATAACCCGGCCAGCAAAATACGAAAATATAGTATTTTCTCCAAAATAATTGTTTATTTTTCGATAGTTGCCGTTAGACAGTTTGTGGTCTGTTTAAACTATTTGGACTTTGCCCAAACAAAACGACTAAATTGGAACTATGTTTATTTGGACAAACTGGTTATGAATGACACAAAAGAGTCCCTGATGATTTTCCATCACAGGGCGGCCTCAAAACTGTATAAAATACATACTTTCAACTTAAAATTCAGGCTGTCCTTTATTGTGTCACTTTGACCGCACACGAATCCGGAAAGCCGTGCTCCCTGCCTTGCGTAAAGGCCGTGTGTAATACTAGTGGTTACCGGTATCGCAATCGTTTTAGAACCAACGCACACGTAAAAATAATTCTACCCTACATTGTATCAGTGCTCCAACACTAATGACCCGCAATTCAAGTTATGTGGATAAATTTACATTCGCCTTGTTTTAGCTAGGGAAACTATTCGCATTACTGTCCCAAATAAATTAAAACCAGAATCTATAGAAATGTTAATTCAATTTAATCAAGACGACTGTACTACAACTCGCGCCACTCAGTTTCTGTGCTTTGCCCTCTTATTACACTTATCACTACAAAGCTCATAAATAATATTTGCTAAAAATTTTTATTTAAAAAAAATAATCGGTGACGTCAGAAATGACGTGACACACTGGCATCAGAAAATGACGTCACATGTACGTCACTTTCTGATGACACAGGTCAAAATTGTAAGATGGCTTTGCATTTCCATTACGTCCAAAAGATGACGTCATATTGACGTAAGTGGACGTTAGCTTGCTACCTGCAATGCAGAAAGATCAGACGCCCTGAATAGCTACTACGCAATCGACCATGCCGAATACCCCACCAATGCAGTAAGTTGATAAAGATAACGAAAATATTTCAATTCATACAATAAAAATGGAAAAACAACCCTAACAATTAAACCTTACTGAACTCTCTCTTTTTAGTAAGATCACCCAAACAGTCGCATTTCCACTTTCCCAACCTCAATTCAATATTCTTCTGGAATGTTTTGAGTTATAAATCATATTTTTATTCGAATGAATCTAAAACTGTCATTTTTCTATCGGAAGCGATGATCATAAATAAGAACTTCTCTTTGATGTTCATTTGTTTGACTTTTACGCACGGACTTTGCCGCACACGTGCGCAAGAGTAAATGTGACAAATTGAACGTGTCACTGTCATTAGATTTTTTAAAGTATTTTCATCAAGCAGTAACCGACATGCTTTTTTAATTAAGTATGTAGGTTTATCGACAACTATTGATCATAATTTAAAGTTTACTTACAATTTGTAAATTATAACTTTGTTACAAGCTCAGTCTCAAAGTCGTTCTAATGGTTTATTCTTCTGCGCTGACCGATGTTTCTACACAATAGCGCAAATTTTATTTAAAATATGCAACTTACACATATACACTTGTACTTACAAACGTCAAAACATGACAATTTAAAAAATGATATTGACATCAGGTTTAAAATATGAAGTTGATGCCTTTTATTTTTGACCATTCTTATTGATTATAACTTATGATTCGTGCTATGTCTTTAATTTGAATATAAAATGTTGTTCGATACGAGGCCGAAAATCCCTTTTTCGAACTTCTGACGGTCAAACGCCATCGTCTTTCGAAAAACGACACTTTTCGTCCTGGTATCGAAAACTCCTATTTTTCATTATCGGCTTCAAGTTAGAATCAGCTGTATCTGAATGTACGCAAGTTTTGTTGTTTTTACAACTTTGAAACGCCATTATTTGGAAACATCTGGAGAAAAAGCAACAAAGTAATAAGTAATGTAAAGAGAATTGAATGCCCTTTGAAACAACGTGCCACTTGACCTCCCTTCCCATTTAAGATTCTTAGGGTGACGTCTACCCGTCCTAGGGTGTCGAAACAAGGAGGCTAAAAATATTATACCGTGGATGGCTGAGTATCAAACTCTTTCTTCAGCTTCCAACTTTTATTCCACTCGGTACAACTTTAACTACGGAACAGGAACAAACTAACTTC